TAACTAAATCCAAGTTATAACAAATTTTCTAAATTTTAGCCTTACAAATCAATCCTCTCTATTAAAAACAAGATACCTTATTCTCGCTGTTTGAACGTATTTTAGTTGCAATCGCCTGTAAAACATTTTTCGTTCTGCGAGTAAATAATTCCTCCTCTTCAACTTCCTCTTCATCTTTCTAAAAATTAAAAAATAAATTATTTTAAAGCAATTATATTAAAAAAAACAAACATCAACACGAGCGCGTCTCTTTTCCGATTTCTTTTCCACAGGTGGTGGGGAAGTTAAAGTTTCTGGGACTGTTGGAACTTCCTGTGACACCTCCATTTCTGGTTCTGGAACTAAATTTTCGTTGGCTTCAACAGGTGCACTTTCAGGACGATCCTAAAAACACTTAAAAATTTTATTCAAAAATTATTAAACCTCTACTCGAGCAATTTCTTCCTCAACAATTGTGTCAGACAATTCCAAATCGAGACGCAAATCGCTTTCAGCAATATCATAGGGATCAGCCGCGTGGAGTTCCAAACGTGATTGGTATATCTTAAAAGATATTTTTCCATCACAAAAATTTCTAAGAACCAAAAAAAAACTAACGCGAATAATTTCAGGATCTAAAATCCATTCTGCATTAGCCGGCATCATTAAAATCTTTTCTAGTTGACAATTTTCGCGAAGACGCATTAATTGTTTTGTTGGTGGTGCCAAATCAAGCGGTTGGAGGGTGTCACTGAAAAGTCAAAAAGCTTTTCGAAAATTTCTAAAAAATGAAAATATGAACCATTTTTCACTTTAAAAAATAAAATTTTCTTCTAAGAAGTTTATGAGAAAAATCATAAAATCTTAAAAAAATTTTCCACCCCTCCAAATTAAAAATAAATATATACAAACCTATAATCTGCCATATTAGCTTTCATTTCTTCTCCCGTTAAACTTTTTTGTTCATCAATAATTAATTTGCGCTTTCGTTTATGTCGCATTCTTTCGTGATGTGGCTGCTGCTCAATTGGTTCCAATTGAAAACTTAATTCATTGTTGGGGACTTGCTGCATTTCTCCAACATCCATCGGCTGGTCTTCTATATCGTCTCCTGGCGCCATTGGAGTGGCGGCCGCTTGGTTATTGAGTTCTAATTCTCTTTAAAAATTAAATTAAAATTTTCAAAATTTTTCGCCTTTCAAACCTTCCCAAATCCGAAGCATTAAAAAACAAATCCAAATCTTCAGCAGTCCCAAAATCATTCAAATCGCTATTAAAAAGTTCGAATCCTTCCTTGTCCTTTTGTGGCGGTCCATCTTCTCTAAGAAGACTTTGATCTCGAGGAATCAAAAAACTTTCTCCTGGTGCTGCCACAGAATTGCGAGATTCCCTTCGTTGTTGTTCCATTTCTTCTTCCATTTCTTCAAAAATACTTCGAGAGCGAGCTCGTCTATCTTTCTCTCCAAAATCGTCAAACTTAAATTTGATAAATTAAAATTTGGAATTAAAAAAATTTAGATTAAAAAAATTTAGCAAAGGGTGGGCATGCAACGCGGTTATCTCTTTGCTGACATTTTTCCACTTTTCTCACCTCATTCATTAAAAAAATTTTAGCTAAGGACATTTATTGATTTATTTAAAAAGTTTAGTTCATTACGTGCTCACGCATCTTTACAAGTTACAAAAATTCAAAAGCCAGTTAAAACTGGCAAAAAATCGCTTACCCCTTCTCCATCTGTTGTCGCAACGAAATCAAGGCCTTTGTTGTAAGCATTTGGTCGTTCTTCTCGAAGTGTAATATCATCAATTCGGCTCTGATTTGCTTGAAATTCGCCGAGCGGGCCAAGATCAAAATCATTAATTTCCGGAAGATTGTCATAAAAATCAGTAATCACCTAAAAATTTATGAAAAAATTTAAAAATAAAAACAAAGAGATTACTTCAGGAATGTCAGTACTCCCCATTCTGTCTTCTCTGTCACGAAGAGCAAGGTCACAAGTACTTCCATGTTTAAAAGTCATTTTAAGTTTAATAAAAGCTTCGTTACAATCAGCCAAAACATATTTGGCCTTGCGAGAATAAATTCTGACAATTCCAAGAAGTAAATGTCCAGTAGTTCGCAAAGAAAGTTTGACCTAAAATTAGGCTTATTTCGGTAATAGTTCGGATGAGACCCCCCCCCTTTTTCATTTCTAAAAGTATTAAAAAATGGTCAGTCAGACTTAAGTTATAGAACTCGTCGAGCTGTGTCGAATGACACCAAATTCAACCCCTGCTCTTAACTTTGGGCCGAGATACAGACAAAAACCCTCCGCAAAGAGAAAGGTTTTGCAAAAGCGTCTCACGACTACAATAGGATTACTTTATGTTATAACTTTGTCAAATCTTGTTCAATTATGTTGATTTTGATGTCATTCGAATCAGCTCGACAAGCTATTTCGAATGAACTATTATTTGATTAATCAAATTTTTATCCCGAAAAATAAGCCTGGTCTACCCTGTTATTTTTCAATTTTCAGGGGTCTGTATCTCGGCCCAAAGTTAAGACCGGGGGTTGTTTTTGGTGTCATTCGACACAGCTCGACGGGTTCCATTTTTTAATATTTAAAGATGGAAAAAGGAGGGGGGGGGTCTCATCCGAACTATTACCCTTATTTCCTCAAAATTTATCCAGAAAAAACCTTTGGTTGAATAATTTCTGCAACAGCATCCTGCACATTTGTCTCATAAATTTGAGTTTTTGAAAGTTTCTTTTCCCAATGTGCTGCTAGCCATATTTTTGCAAGCGGGCCTTTTTTGGATAAGACAAATTGGGCATAAAACATAATTAAAGGTTAAGAAATATCCTCAAGTTTATGTAGACAAGTAAAGAGGACGTTACAAAAAATATATAGTAAATCTGAAATTTTTTTAAAATTAATTTTCGTAAAAATTAGAAGAAAAACAAAGCCAAAATTAGAAAAAAGAAAGGCGAAACTCTAGCCAAACCGCCATATTTTCCACACTCTCTCTTCCTTTTAGTTTTTCTTCTCATTCAATATTGGGACAAACTGTCATTAAACAAAACGCCAAATTTATGAAAAGCTTTTAATTCAAAAAGGATTTCCTGAGGAGATTTAATATTTTGCTAAAAGCTTCGTAGTAAAGACAATTGGAAATTGAATACATTTAAAAAATCAAAACATAAATTTATAAACTATCTCAATTTTAATGAACATCTAATCAAACAAACTAATAAATTAAAATTTATTTACAAAAAGACAAGTTAAAAACGGCTCCGATTCGTATTTATTTTGAAAGTCTTACAAATTCCTCACAAATCGACTTTCGTACTTTCAAAATTGAAAACTTACAAAATTCCGTACTTCCAAAAATTCCCATAAAAATTTTTGGGGCATACAGTGCGCTTATTGCAAATAGAATAAGTCGAATGATGAATCATGATAATGAAAATAAATTAGATTTTTTTCTATTTTTGTTATATAAATTCCAGAAAAAAACATAAAAGGAAAAAGAATAATTATGCTAAATAATCCAAAGTCTGCATAAAACAATTACTATGTTAATTTTATGCGCACAAGTGTCTACCTATTGAATATTGAAAATATTAAAGATTTATTCTTCCTCAATTTTTTTATTTTCCATAGAAATTTTTGAAAAAAACATCATTTTTATCCACTCTTACCACACATTATTTGCTGGCATATTATTATTGCTAAGGAACATAGTATTCCTCTTTCAGTTTTCCTCAATTAAGGGATCAATCACCAAATCCTTAATTTTCAAATTTTATTCCTTGAAATGACATAAAAAAAGTTTTTGGCAAAATTATTATTAAAAATTGTGGATGATTTAAACCAAAAGCTGTCAATTGCAGACTAAAATCCGGAATTAGATTCTTAACAGAAAACCCACTCAAAAAGGCATATTATTCCTAAAGAACGTCGTCTGCACACATACAAATATGCCGGAAGTATTTTAGGAGGGGCTAAATGTTGTGTGGTAAGCTTAGATAAAAATGATGGATGTCCTTCATTTACTATGTTTTTCCTCATCTCGTTATGCATATCCCCCTTTTAATGAATTGCGTAAATTTTGAAAATAATTTTTTTTAATTTTTTAGTGTTAAGGCACTGAATGTTCATTCAGAAAAGATTTTTGGTCAGCATTGGCCTTTTAATGGTTTTTTCTTTGTCCGAATGTGATTTTGGAGAACTTAAAATTTTGTTAAATTCAAAGCAATGGCGGCATCTAGAAAATGACTTGAACAACTATAATAGACAAAATTTAGTTGCTAGAGGAGGAATCAATAAATTGAGATGGCCAAATTTTTTGGTAAAATTCTGGAAAAAATTATTTACTCCAAAAAATTTAATTATATGTCAGATTGACCCCATGGAAATTGAAACAAAAGCATCCAAAAGAAATATAGCAACAGGGAGAGGTGATGGATTCAGGCCTGGATGAATTAATAAATTAACAGAAAAGAATCTCTTCAAATTTGTTGTAATAAATATTGAATTTAACGAAGTAAATATTGGGAAATATTTTTTTAGAAATTTTTTTATGGTAAAATGTCTAAAAAGGAGATAAAATAGGTGTTAAAGCACTCAGTTGAGGAAGTTCCTTAAACTAAATTAACTGGTCATTACTAAATTAACCGGTCATTCAAACTCGGATAAGAGGAAGTATTATTTTGAAAAGTTTCCTCGAAAGTCGAAAGAAAGTCGACCTTTCGAATGCCCCTCTAACAAAAAAATAATTAACATAAAATTTCAAATACATTTACATTATTTTATACCCTTTTATTCATTTGCTAATATAATTTTTAAGCAAGAAAAAGGCACTTTGTAATTATGAAAGAAAAATAAAATTAAAAAAGTATGAGCAAAAAAACAAGTCAGATCAGAAAATAGGCAAGAAAGGATGGAAGGAATATATGTATCATCCAAAAAATGGGAGAAGATATGACTGAAAATACAAAAATATTTTTAAATAAGTACAGGATTTGTTTTTTTTGGTCACTTTTTCATTCCTTTTGGTTTTGGAGGCAATGGTGGAGCTATTGCTTCAGAATCAAATGGTGAAGCTGTTGTTGATGAAATTGATAAATTTTGTTGGTTTTCACATGTTGGACTTTTGCCTGAATTTAATGCTGCAAGTTTTTTAGGAGGCCTTGGGGGAGCTGTTGCCTCTGTTGATGCTTCTTTAGTTAATAAATTTAAACGAGGAGGCAATTTTGGAGGAAGTTCCTTTAAAAAAGAAAATTGCTTCTACTAAAGTATAATATGATAAAAACTTACAACTGGAGAATCCACCGAAGATTTTTCATCGCCAACTTCACCTTGAGAACCTTCTGAAGGCAACTTCTTCCGAGCAGATGGCGGCTTTGCCAAAGGAAAAGCAGATGTTGGCGAAAGAAAAGATGGACTTGGTTCTTCACTTGATTGATGATGTTGAATATTTTGATGGTGTTGTGGAGGTGGTGCTGGAGGTTTACGAAAAGTTCCTCCAAATTGAGGGTGTTGTTGTTGTGGAAGCGGTGGTGGAAAGGTAAAATGAGATTCACCTATACATAGAGGGACAGGCGGCTTTCTCCTACTATGAGGATAGGTGGAGGAATTAACGCCTGGAGATGATGAAAGTGGCGGTGATTCGTTGGAGCTGTGTGAGAGGGCTGAAGGCAACATTGCGGCTGCTGCAGCACTTGGTACATATTCGGAAATGAATGCTGGATTGACACGTCCACTGCTAGTTGTATCAGCTAACCAACGAGGGAACTGGCCTAGAAAATAAAAATTGTAACAATGATGATGTCCATGAAGCAAGAATCAAATATTTAATCAAATATTCGCATAAAAACCCTTACCAGGATTTATATCAACAACAGCAAAGTTTTGATCTTCTGTAGTCATTAAAGAAGCTGGGGAATTAGTCGAAGAACCGGAAGGTGGGCTGCTCCAAAACGGGACATTCATATGTGATGGTGAGAGTAAATTGCCACTACCGCTATCCGTTGTTCCAGGTTGGTTTGGAGATCGTGGTGATGAAACAGAAGATTTGGTAGAGCTTTTTGATGCTCGAAGCTGGGTTGGTGTAGCGCTAGGTGCATTTGCGCTGGTTGGAGTTTTTTGTTGTTGTCGAACTCCTGGCGACTTCAAAGCCTCAAGTGAATGTTTGGGCTTCTGAAAGATAGTTTAAAATAAAATTATTAAATTTATGTGAGAAGCGAATCCCTGTGTTAAATTTGGAAAAAAATCCAGTGCCCATTTAATCTTCAGGTAACACAAAAATCAAACTAGGCAACATACCGGATTAGGTATTTCTCCATTTTTTGGTTCAATTTTGCTAGACCTATTGTACAGGTATTCCTCAAAATCGTCTTTGTCTTTAAAGCCATTGAGAGGGTTGATAGATTCGAAGAAATGCTGAAAAATAAAAATTGAAAAACACAAAAAACTATTTAATTTTAATAAAATATTTATATTTTGATCAAAAATTAGACACCAATAATCGTCCAAATCCGCTAGTTTTCCTTTCAGTCGATCCGTCATTCCTCAAATCAATTCTCGTCCGACTTCTTGAATTTACTGACGATTTTCTTCTTACATTTAATTTATGAAAAGAATTTGGACGAGAATATAAAAAATTATTTACACATTCTTCTTTAACAGAAAAATTTTCGGAAGGAGGCGCAGAAGATGATTTATGTAGTCTTTAAAAGTTTTTTTTTGTTTGAAAGAATAAAAAGGGGCAAAGAAAAAAAACAAACACCTTTCAACATTAGAAACAGAACATGTTCGAGAAATTCTGCCAGAAAAACGTGCAAAATTTATTTGTGGAATACTCACAACAGAACATTTATTAGCAATACTAACTTTGCGATACAAACTTGCTGAAGAAGAAAAAAAATATTTTTAGAAACAAAATTTCTTCAAAAAGAGAAACCATGTTTCCGTCGATTTTCAGTAGGAAACATTAAATAATCATAACCACCATTTGTGGAAGAAAAACAATTATTAAAAATAGGTTCAGCAGCTTCACAAAAAAATGAAAACATTGCAACCATTTGACCAGAAAAAATTTTTTTTTAATTTGGAACAATGAAAGTAAAAATAAAAAGAAATATCCAAAAATAGGGTTAAAGTGTTGCTGATCAAGATGAATTAAATTTAAAAATTAATTAGATTTTAAAATAAAAAAAAGAGGAGGAAAGTGGACGACGAAGAAAAGAAGAAAATAGTTTATACTCTAAAAAAGATAAACGTCGTTGGACACATTAAGAGATTGATTGTAATGAAACAGGAGGAGTATATGTATGTGTTTTCGAGAATGAAGAAAGGAAAGGAAAGAAATCTGTTTTGATTACTAAAAGGTTTTCTTTCTCTCGCACTCTCCCTTTCCGATTCTAAATCGGAAGAAGCAATTTAAATTGAAAAAAAGAAGAAAAGAAGATAATCAGTGTGTAAGGCCATTTTAGTGGGCGGCGAGTAACTAACTACTTCGCCTTTTTCCTTTCGAGAGCAATGAATTGTGCGGTAAATTTTAAGAAAGAAGACTAAATGAAAAGCGTCAGTTGGCTACTTTCCTTCTTCAAACTAATCAACGAAGCCAAATATTGTTTAGAAAAAGATCAATGAGAGCTTACTTAATATATACCACAATTAACGAGATAAATTGCAACGAAAAATAAAAAAGTGATCAAATTGGAGGGGTAATCTATATATCTTTTTTCTAATCTTTAAACATCTTTATGATCCTTAAAACTTTAACAATTTAAATATAGTTGCAGAAAAGAGAAGCGACATTTGCAATTAAAACTCACGAGATTTGTTGTGTTCTACTATGTTAAATGAATGATTATTTAGTTTAGAAGGAAAGAAACTATTTTTTATTAGTAGCAATAAGGAAGAAATTTTAAACGTAATTAAAGAGGTATTTTTGTCATTACTAAAACACGTAATCAAACGAAGATGAAAAAACTAAATAAGAATTAATCAAAAATAGAAAACATCAAAATTTTTCAGTAAATTTCTTTAAAAAAATTTTAATTAAAAAAAACCCCACCCGAATTGTCGGTTCCATTTTGAGTGGATAAGGCTGGTTTTGATACATTTGAATTTCACGGATTATAGCAGCAATTTTGCGACATTTAACAAAGGAAATAATTCTTTGAGAGACGTTTAAGCGTTCATTGAGTTTGGATTTTTGGGGCAATCTTGGGGATGAGTTTTTGTCTGATTCAGCTTCTGGTGTAGAGACATCAGTTTTCTGAAATAAACGTTAAAGGAATTTTAGATAAGTTCTCAAAGACAAAACAATGTGTCAAATTAAAGAGGATGCGGCTCTCAGGGATGACAATAAAGATTAGTTAAAGCCACATAAATTTAAATAAACATAAGTCGGTTAAAAGGAATAGAATACATTAAAAAACGGATTCATAAAAAATTTACCGGTTGTTGATCAGTATTTGGAGAGGCATTTTGTTGTTTTTGTTGGTTTGCCTTGTTATCTCGATTTTCTAGTTGTTTAAGACTTTCCAAGCGAAGAACAATTTGAGTCAAATAAGTGCCTAAAAAGGGAAGATATTTAATAATTAAAAAAATAAAAACCAGCAAAAGGTACACACGGCGGATTTATTGACCGAAGACGATGTAATAATTCACTTAAATGTCCATCACCACATAATTGAACAAAACGATCATACCAAGATTTTTTCTCCTTCTCAAGGCGCTTAAATAAGTAAATTACAAAAAAGGAAAGGATTTCTTTAGAAAATATTTAAAACAATTTTCTTCTATACTTACCGACTTGCTCTCTTCTAAACGATATACTGGTTGACAATTAAGAGCCGAGAAAAAAGCAATCAATCCATTAAAATTATTCAATTCCTCAAAAACAAACATAATTTCAAGAACGCGTGAAAACATTTCGGCTCTCTCGTCTAAAGATTCAGTTTCTACTATAGATTTAGCGACCCAATAGGTTAACTAAAAAGTTATTAATTTATTAATAAATTGATTTATAATTTACATTTGTGCTGTGGTCAATAAATTTTAGGAGCTGAGGGCTTCTTTGGTATTTGTCTTGTTTTGTCCAAGCAGCATCCACTAATTCTAAAAAAAATTGGAATAAGTGAACATACAGTTCGAGTAAAACAAACCAAAAGGTTTAATAGCACGATAAAGACTAAAATGAAGCAAAGTAATTTGTCTTGCAATTTCTAATGGATGGAGTGTCAACATATCATAATTAGCAATATCGCCTTCTTTTGCAAAGTGCCAAACGGGCTATAAAAACAGAGGATACAATTTTAGATCATATATCAGGAAAGGATAATTAGGTAAGGGATAAATGGAAACTTTTCTCCAAAAATGGGATTGAGACAAATCAAAAAATAATCCAAATTTAAACATTATACCTCTGGAATATTAGGAGCAAAACCACCAGTTCCAGCAACTTGTAAACTGTCATTGTTTATTGGTTTTTGTAAAGTTCCATCTGCAGAACTTGAATTACGTTGTTTTCTTTTAATTACATCCTTTATAAATTAAAGAAATTAAAATTATAAATCCAATATTTTTACTTGAATTTTAGTACACCATTTTTTGTGATTTGTTGTCAATTTAATTGTAGTATCTTTGCCGTTAAGAAAGTCAACAAGTTTTTGTAGGAGATCGGGGTCATTTTCGAAGTCATAAAAGTGGTTACTGACCCAATGATTTAAAACACTCAAAACTCTAGAAAATAAAATAATTTTAGAAAAAAAAAGGAAAAATAAACAAACTTGAGTTGAATTGGTTTTTGATATTCTTGTCGAAAACGGTGAAATGCCTGCTCCAATTCTGCCGGAGAAAGGCTTTGATAAGCTGGAGAAGTGCTGACAACATCCCCCGAAGTTCTTTAGAAGAAAAATAAACTAATAACTAAAAATTAAATATAAATAAACCGATTCTGTTGATGTTGTGTAGCTAATACAACACTCATATGTGGATCTAGTGAAGCAAATGGATGGGGGGTTGGAATTGTAAAACGTTCAATAAGCAAAGAAAAAAGTTCGGAGGAAGAACAGAATGATCGATATGTTATCATAAAAGTTTTGACAAATTCATTATCTGTATATCTAAAAGAAAAAATTGCTGTAAAATATCGAAAAAAATAACGAACCTTGGAAATGTGAGACGTTCAATTAATTTCAAAATGGTGCCTGAACGCACAACAGGAATACCACTATTATGGGTATAATCTTCAAAAATTATATTCTCTTCTGTATCCGGCTCTGCATAGCGATATTCACAAACAGTAGGTACAATAAGTGGAATACGTTTTTCTTCTTCTTTTAAATAAGCTTCCAACATGCGATGTAAAACGCTAAAAATACAATTACATTATAGCTTAAAAGTCTAAAAAATTCCTTTGGTTGAGGCAAAAAAAGAAGTCCCAGTAAATTTTAAAAAAATCAACAAAAATTACCCAGCAGTCTGCATTTCAACCAAAGAAGTCATCCAAGCTTCTTTGTCTTCCGGTGTTTGACAAAATAAAGTAACAATATTCATATATTCGTCATTACTCCCCTTTGCTGTTGTACATATTTTAAAAGCATTTTTTACTTCATCATCGTCTTCTAAATCAATTATATCTGATCGTCGAATGTATAATTTATCTTTAAATTTGTATGAGGCAGATGTTGAAGATAAATATTGGCTTCCAGTAACATTTCCTTTTGTGTTATGGTTTTTAAGTGATTTACATATAACCAGCAAGTGGTCAAAGAGAAAAACATATCTTTCAGTCCAATTAGATCGAGTACGGAGAATATTATCTAGAAACTAGTAAAATTAGGATTTGTATTGAAAGATAATTAAAAAAACAAGGATTTAGAGTTTTTGGTTTGTAGCAGTAATAACAAGAAGTTTAAGGGAATGAGAGAGTGGGTCAGAACAATCGGGGGTGTTAGAACTAGGAACCAGAGGTGGGTCGGAACAGTCAGAGGTGTCGGAAATCGGAAGAGCCGGAAATCTGAACTGGCTCAAAAGTCGGAAATCGGAAATCGAAATTTTTTTCGGAAATCGGAAGGAAAAACACCGGAAATCGGAATTCCGACCCACCTCTGCTATGAACAAGCACAGATTGTGGAAATTGGAATTAAGACTCAAATTTGGTAAAAGGAAATTCTTTATAGGACGATCGACTAGAATAGAAAAGACCCATTCCAAATTACCTGCAATTGTCGGCGAATTCCTCATCTGGAAAAGTTCCCCTTCTCTTATAAACATATTACACATATATCCAATTTCTTTGCCTTCCCAGCCCTCTAAAATAAAAAAAATATACAAGGATTTTATCTAACAATAAACCAATGCTTCGTTGTATATGTTGGATAACATTCATATGAAAAGATCGAGTATTGTCTCTCCGAATGCCACGAGAATATTTTTCGCTTCTTAAAAATATAAATTTGAGCTAAAAATTAATTAAAAAAACATGTGTGGCGCAATTGGAAGTTTAAGATCTTGAATTCGTTTCCCAACAACATTTAAATACATTGCTGTATTGTAAAGGTCTTTTTGATCAGTTTCTTGTTCTGTTGCACCCATCATTAGCTTAAAAAAGTTTTTATAAATAAATAGAAATTTAAAAAACCTTAACATATTCCCCATAACATCTAAAATGTGCCATTACAGAATAAAGTAAAGAAGGCAAAACATATTTGACAGCCATTCGGAAAGTATGCCCTCCTGGAGTGCCACTATAAATTCTATCTTCAATCTGAAAATTAGGGAAAAAATTAAGGGCTATCGAGATTAAGGGTCATTTTTGATCAGAAAATGATCGCCAAAAATTCCCGAAAAATTTTTCCCGAAACAAATTTCCGATGAAAACGATGAATAAAAAAATTCTTTAAAAACTATTAGCTGCGAAAAATAATTTGAACAATAAATTTCAATAAAACTTACATCAAAATACTCCAAATAAGTTGGCTCTTTCATCATTCTTTCAATTTTCTTATTAAGCGGTTCTTTAAAAACTTCCTTAAATTAAAAAAAAATTTATTAAAATTATGTTTTTTAACCAAACCATAAATTGAAGATAAACATCAAATTCACACCCCTCTGCCAATTCCCAAAGTCCCATTCCAAGCAATGGGGGACTTGCCATATCAATTCCGTCCTCGATTGTTCGATGTATTTTTATTGTAAGTTCATAAATTTCGTGAACATTTCCAAATATTCCAGCAATATAATTGTCTTTAGAAGGGGAACTTCCTATTATTCCTGCCTCCAAACGACGTTTAAAAACATTAACAATCATACTAAGGTCGCGAATAAAACGCATTTCGTCTTGTTTGAATTCATTGCAAAGCTAAATTTAAGAGAAATAATTTTAAAAAATATTTAAATAAAACCTTTTCATAATATTGACTTTTGTCAGATTCTTGTACATGTTGGTCAACAGAAATTGAGGAAGATATAGACGGCTAAAAATTAAATAAGAATTTTTTAAATGAATAAAATATTAAAAATATTAGTTAGGTATATGACATTTTAACTCAAACATCAAATAGAAAACTTAACGGAAAAAATATAGAATAAAAATTAACGTGGTTATAAGAAACAATTTTTTAGAGGATTTCTAACGAACTGAAAATTTAGACGAGGAAACCCCAAACTTAATTTAAAAAGTATATATTTTTTATTATTATTTAAAGTAAACCTTTCAGTTAAGAAAATTAAAAATCTAATCAATTAAAAAAATTAACTGTATGCGCAGCTGGAGAAGATTGTGTAGTATTTGTAAAAACTCCTGCCAAAGACAATTCCTCCTCATTTCCATAAAGAATTTCAAGTAGATCAGCTAGCCCCTAATAATTTAAAATCATAAAAAAA